TAGCAAAATGTCATGAATGATGATTCATGTCAGATTAAATATGGCAGGATTAGAGGCTCAGCTCATCCACATTACACCTCCAGTCCGGCCTGTTTTAAAGGTTTATGCTGATGAGGTTTTTTCCTGTAGAGCTCTAAATCAAGGCTGTCGCTGTGTGGAGCTGGACTGTTGGGACGGAGATAAAGGAGAACCAATCATCTATCATGGACACACACTCACCTCCAAAGTGCCCTTTGTTGAAGTCATTGAAACAATCAACGAGTACGCTTTTAAGGTGAGTTCTTCTCTGGGGCCTCTCTTTTTTTTGGATCTACAGTGTGACAGTATGAAGCTAAAGACTTATGTTGCTTTCATGTATTTTGGAAAAGTTAGAGTAAATGTCAGAATAACTGTGTTCTTACAGTTTTTCTGTGATTCTATCCAAATCAAAAAACCTTTTTCTCTGTGTTCATGAAGCCACTTTGGACTCCTGAAGGTTGCATGTGGCTCATTAGAATTAAGGTGGTCTCCAGACCATAACATTTACATCTGAATTGACTATTGACATTTTTCTGCATGGTAACCTTTTCTGAGAATGTGCAAATTCTAATTCAGTGGTTCCAGATATACTTAAAGCCTGTCTCCACCCGGCCCCTGTCAAAGTCACAGAGATTTTCTTTCCTTTTTATTTGTATGAGTCAGATAAAAGGTTTATCTGGCAGACCTTTATTTTCATCTGTGGTTCATGGATCCATTTGCTTGCGCCAGGCCTCTCCCTACCCTCTGATCCTGTCCCTGGAGAACCACTGCTCTGTGGAACAGCAGACAGTGATGGCCCGGCAGCTGCGCTCCATCCTGGGGGACAAACTGCTCCTCAAGCCCCTCAGTGGTCATGATACCCGCCACCTGCCTTCTCCAGAGGTAAATAACACCAAAGCTGGGCAGAAATACAACCGAACACTGGACAATACAAACAGCAGAACGAGTCATTTTTCTGATCAAGTTACAGATTTATTTAGGTGCATCAAATATTCTAACAGTGTAAAGAGCTCCAGGCAGTCAGTACACACATTGTTGCTCCATTGCTTAAAAAAAAAATCTATTAATGGCATGATTAAATGGGTTTTTCAGAATGATATTTGTATTGTCCTTCCTGGTTTTCAAAGCCATGAGAAGGTTGAACTTAGCCTGGTTAGCCCATTGAATTCTCACTAAAGGATTCTGGTCAGCCAAACATTTTAATTCGCAAAATTCAGACTCTTTTGTCCACACGTATGTGAACTGTTTCTCAGACCTGACGGTAACTGTTACTCTGTGGAGAGGCTGAGAGCGGGCCGTTTCTCTAAAGGTAAATCTGAGGCTGTCTGCTCCTCAGGGTTTCACTTCTTCTAAATTTCCATATGTTTCCATATCCCCATGAGGGTTAGTGCATGGACAGCTCTTACAGACCCCTGTAACCACATTACATGTAGATATATGTACCCTGATGACATGTTAGCTCCACTGGGTTCTTTGATATATGTGTGCTGGCAGTTACACTTGAAGGACTTGTTCGAGGCATCTAATCCCTGTGTATTTTACAATACGTGATGTTTGGTTTCTAGGATCTGAAGTGGAAAATCCTGGTAAAGGCAAAGAAGGAGATTACAGTGGACGAATGTTCATCCAGTTCTTCAGACCTCAGCTCCTCAGACGAGGAGGCCAGCAGGACCGAAGGGAAATCCAACCGGAAAAAAGAGGACAAGAGGGTGCCACCAGCTCAGGTTGAGCTTTTTTCTGTGATTTTGTTTGCTAAGTTTGGATTTTTGTTTGTGGAACCACTACATGCTAAGAAATCAAAAAGGTTGTAGCATTAAAGTGTAGTAGAAGTTGAACCAAAGCTTTGTTGGCCTGTGTGTGTGGTGCCTGATGTCGTGTGTGTGTGGTTCCAGCCAGCCGTGTCCAAACTGAGTCCAGAGCTGTCCGAGCTGGTGGTGTACACTCGCAGTGTTCACTTTAAAAACTTTGAGGACGCTGCCAGAAAGCCAGCCTCCGACATGTCCTCTTTCTCCGAGAGTGAAGCGCTCAAGCTGGTCAAAGACTCAGGTACGATGCTCGTAAAGGAAACAGCATAAAAGCTGCCTGCAAATGGGAAAACTATCAGTAGTTTTTGACAGAGCACCAGTAGTAGCTGCTGATCCAGTGAGTGGTTGTCATTTGACTGACTGAAGGTTTTGTCTGCCCACTCAGGCATGCACTTTGTGCGTCACAACTGTCACCAGCTCAGCAGAATCTACCCGTCAGGCCAGCGCCTGCAGTCCTCAAACTACAACCCGCAGGAGATGTGGAACGGAGGCTGCCAAATCGGTGAGGGCTCATCTCCATGTAGCATGGTCTTCTCTCTGGGTTACCTCGTTTACTGCTGACCACAAGATCCCAATCAACAGGAACATTAGGATAGAATCCAAATGATTCTTTCTTTGGAATATGTACATGGTTCAAACTAATAATACTAATCAAACATGGGTGCTCGTTATCTCAGGAGAAACAATGAGAATCCCAGCCTGCCTGTGGTTCATCAAATGCAGAACTGTCAGTAGGGTTAGACCCAAATCCCTGTTAGGTCTTCTGTTCCTCTATCAGACCCCCCGTCTCAGGAAGCAGCTGAACATACTCATGAACAAAGCAAATGTCCTGTTAATGTGACGCCCCTCAGTAGGGGAACAGTGAAGGAACCACAGACACAATGCTACCTTGGTCATGTCCAGTGCTGTAATGGAGGGCCTCAGGCACCTTGTCCATGGAAACGGGAAACTCAGAGAGCCGTTCAACATGCAAAACTCTTACAATTTAGATAATGTAATAGGTAACAATCGTCAATGTAATAGGTAACAGTGCCACAATATCTGTATTTAAAGCATGTTTTCCTTTAAGTGCATCCATTTGATAGATAATAATACTTAGACTGGATCAACAAGTGTCAAGTTACTGAGTTACTGATTATTGGATCAGTAACTCAATATAATTTAACAGTCAGTTTTCCTTTAAGAAGTCATGAAATTACATACTTCTACCCTTTTTTACCTTTAATTCTATCCATGTAGGGTACTTTGCTTTCATTAATGGCAAAGTTAATGACTTTACGCTGACAAAATGTGTAAATATGGACCATCTTTATTGGATGTTTCACAGCCTTCCATTAACCTCCTGTGGCCTCTCCCATCCAGTTGCTCTGAATTTCCAGACATCTGGGGAGCAGATGCATTTAAACCAAGGCCGGTTCCTGCAGAACGGCCTGTGTGGTTACGTCCTGAAGCCTTCCTTTATGTGCCAGCCCGACACCACCTTCAACCCGGAGAATGTCGGGGGGGGTCCCGGGCACAGGCCGACGCTCCTCACTGTGGAGGTGAGATCAGGCCAACCCTCCACTGAAATTACCCTCCACTAACAGTTCACATCAGATGGATTTCTGCTGGTTCAAAGGACAAGATCATTTAGGTGTTGTGGCTTGATCCTGTCAGAGCTGCTAACTCAAGGCAGGAAGCAATAGTACAAAATAATAATCACTCAATAATGACGATAGACAGACTAGGAAAGTAACAAATAAGGATCACGGGAATCGAGGCTGAAAAACTATGAAGTACCAAAATAATAATCACTCAATACGAGGCAAAAACGGGGAGATTCAAGACCAGGCTTTTCAAGGACAAGGTTAAGGCTCAGTTTGGGTCAGAAGACCAAACCCACTGGCCCCAGACGAGGAGAGACTCAGACCATTTAAACACAGGAAGGGAACCCCAGGGGAACCAATCGGTGATCAGTGCTTAATTTAATTCTTGATACTTTCTGCCCTTTAAGCTGCTGGTAACCTTAATTTCCTGAGGGAGTCTTCCCAAGGGATCAATAAAGTACTGTCTAAGTCTAAGTCTAAGTTTAAGGGGATGTACCTTTCAAAATAAAACAGGAAATAACCAGACAACCATGGAGACAGGGCAAAACACCAGAAAATCCCCCAGGCGGGACAGACCCAGGTTATGGTCGGCATTCCTCTTCGGAATGAGGAAAGTTTGTTTCTCATTTCGTTCAGGGAGTCACTGAAACTCTAGATTACAAATGATTAGCGACATTGGTTCTTTTTGCTTCATTTTCATATTTTTTGTTGCTGTTTGGTTCATTCAGGTCATCTCAGCTCAGCAGCTGCCTAAACCACAATGCGACAAGCCCAGCTCCATAGTGGACCCCCATGTGTGGGTGGAGATACACGGAGTCCCCATAGACAACAGTAGAAAGAAAACTCATCATGTGGACAACAATGGTACGCCCTGGTCCTCAGGAACAAACAGCTATGGGCAGTAGTAAACAAAAATTCATTAAAGGAAGGTATGTTACGGGCATGGTTGCACAAATGAGAACGAGGCTATTCTTTGTTTCAGGCTTCAACCCCAGATGGGATTGCATCTTTAACTTTACTGTTCATGCCCCGGACCTGGCTCTGGTCCGCTTTCTGGTGGAGGATCATGACTATACCTCCAGCAATGACTTCTTGGGACAGTTCACTCTGCCTTTATCCAGTCTGCGCACAGGTGTGTATGAAGGCACACGATTCCCAACAGTGGACTGTACTGGTTCAGAATGACTGATTGTGTCCATGCTGCCCATCACACACAGGTTACCGGCATGTCCGCCTGCTCAAGCTGGATGGTTCCAGCCTCTCACCTTCATCCCTCTTCATCCGTGTTAAGACCACCCCTTGTTAGAGTGATCAACCTAAGGCTGCTGCTGCCCATCCTGCTGGTCACCACCCAGACCTTTAACCACCAAAGCGTGAGCTCCACCTCCTGTCAGCCTGCTGCTCCAGTCTGGAGCTAAAACAGTGACATCCAAAAATACATTTGGCTTTTAAAAATCACTCCTTTGAAATCTAAGTCAACAATTAGCATATTTTAAATCAACTTAAATAACCCCAAAAGGTTCTAGTTTGATTTAAGAGTATCATTATAAGTTCACCAATTTCACTTTTCCTGTTTTTCTGTCAACATTCTTCACACTGACAATGATTCTTTTTTCAATGACAATGTGTCATTTTTCACTGTTTTGATTTTTTTGTGTTTTGTTCACCAATTTTATGTTTTCAACATTTCAATGCCATAACTCTTTTTGGATGTCAATGTTTATTTTTCAGTGTGTCCCTGTTTGAGCTTCATAAAAATGGGACACACCAGCCTGGATTCAGATCTAAGGTCTGAGCCCTACAATTAGAGTTTAGTCAAACTAACTATTTTTTCACATTTGTGCAATAAATTGAACCTCAGTGGGTTTATCTGAAGATGTTTCTAATAGTTCAGTTAGTTAAATTTATATTTTGATCTGGATTTTGTCAGAGATAGAAACGCCAATTGTAACCTTATTGTTATCATCACTTCCCTTCAGCTGAAGCTTAATTTAGACACCTCATAAGAGTTTTTTTTACTTTTCTTAGAGCATGTTTTGATTTCACACTTGACACACTCAGATAATTTAAAACTGTAGATTTGAAGGAGATAATTTATGTTACAAAATAAATAGAACTGTTTTTGTATGTGTTGACTATTTGTAAGGTTTCGAATATCACATATTTCTTTAATTATAAAAAAAAAGAAAAAAAAGCCTTGAGGCTAATTTTATGGCTGGAAATAAATCTACCTGGAAAAATAAGGTTTTAGCACTTATGCTAATTTCTTTATACATGAGTTACAAAACAGTAAATCAGCATTGTGGTATAATAGTTTAGTGTAAGACCAAACCTGTATTTTAACACTGTGCTAAACTCTTCACACAGAGTCTGAAAGAACTGTCAGCATGAACCCAGCAGCTCAGATGTGTTTTCCCATCAGAATGAAGGAAAAGAAATGGGAAAACTGCATGTTTGTTTCCTTCTTCAAATGTTTAGAGGATATCAGAGCTGCATTTTGAGCACCATATCTAGTTTCTTTTAAGTTTTCTTGTCTGACATATGCTGTACAAACACAAGTTTCCTGGCTGTTACTCTCAGTTTAGTTTTTTAATATTTTGTTAAGTGTTTTATCTTATATCAGCATGATTATATTCAGAATATATATTCTATAGTAGCATTTTATTGAATGATTGAGACCAAACTATGAAGTTTTTAAATAGTGAATAGTTATCTTAGTTCTTTAACACTGAGATTTGCACTAGATAGATCAGTTGCCTTATTGCTGGCGTCCATGTACATGCTTCATATTCTCTTGCATGTGTTGTTCTTACTGTAGTTCACTTTGTGTTAAAGACCGTAGCTATTGTGGCCTAACTTACTGTTAATGAGAAATGGAATTTTCTCATATGTGACATCTGAACTTTTGTGTAAAAGAACAATTACATTCAGTATTTCCAATCATCAATATGTGTTCATATTTTGTTTACCTACAGAAGAAGTACTGACATTTTTTACTGTAACAATGAAGATGTTTTTTAATTGTGACTTGAAGCAGGATTATCAATCAGGGATGCAGATCTGAAAACTGTTAGTGTTCGTGCAATATTCAAACACCTTCAGAATATGCTGTTGTCATGGATGACACTGAAAGGACATTATTTTGTAAAATAGTCTGATGACTCCAGGGTTCATTACATTCATCAACAAATGTCTCATCTGTGTTTTAGCAGTGATCCACTGCACCAAAGTGGACATAGAGATGACAAGTATGCACAAACTGGTCCTGTACATTAGGAAATACATGGCATGCTAACATCGTACTGCCTTTGTTTTAAAAATAATTCTGTATTTTAATTCATAGTGAATACATGAAGTGTAAGTCAAAGTATTGCTGTTTTACTATGTGAAAAATATGGTGGCCCGGAAGTGTCAATGAATTCAAAAGCCGTAACACAACAGAAGTGTTTTTTTCATGAGGATAGGTTAATGCAAAAGCACATTAACCAATAATATAACATATAACGTAGTAACAGCTATACAAGCCTGAAGTGACACAATACAGATTTTGTTTTACATTTTATTTTGGCATTTCAGTGAAATGGAGGATTTAGACTACTCATTTTTTAATTGTAGTTTGGGGATTAACTCGCTCCCATTATCTGCATTAATGTCAAATTTGGTTTGTTCATGGAAGATAAAATTTGGATTTTTTTGTCATTTTATTTTATTTATTTTTTTCAAAGTTAAAACACACTCAAATTTCACTAATTAGTTTAATTACATCAAATGTTTGCCATTCTTTTGTCATTGCTTGATAATCTTGAGTTTGTTCATTGGTTCTGATCAGTTTTCACTGAATTAAATGATTTTCCTAATTATGAGAAATTGCATTGATTCTTTCTTGACTGATGACTTCATTTGTAACTGTGTGAATATTTTTTTTTTATGTCCAGCGTAATTTCAGGTGAGTACAGCTGTACTTTGGAAAAAGAGCACAGTTGACTCGATACAACACAGATTGTGCGTTAACTGAGTATTAACCTATATTAACACAATTTTTATTATTATTTATCGTGTAACATTTTATTTTAGACTGTATCATCTTATTTTGTAGCAGCCTATTTCGTAGTGCACTGGAAAAAACACCACTCCAAATATAAGGAAAAAATAAGACAAGATATGTTCTGCCTGTAATAAACCAAAAAATAATAATCTGCCAAATACAAGAGACATTATACTGGTTCCAAGTTTAATCTCAAATAACTGAACAGGAAACTGGAAAAACAGTACAACCCTCCAACTGAGGGTCCGGAGTCTGATTTATTATCATTTAATTACTCACAAAACAAACCGTTTTTATTCTTGCATCGGTTATATTTTGAGCAGTTTTAAGACAATTTCAGCCATAAAGTTTATGAGCCAAAGGACGCGTCACGTGATGCGGTTCAGCCAATAAGATCCTCAGTGCAGACACACAGCCTCCCGACCAGGAAGCGGCGGGAGCTCCGCGTTTCCGGGTTCCTTTCCCCGGCCAGCTCTGCGTTTCTGGGCCAGAGGAGGTCAGGTTTAGGGTCTAATGGCCGCTTCGTGTCCCGGCGTGGCCGAGCTGGCCGCGGCGGCGCGGCGCGTGTACGCGGAGGCGTTCGGGGGGGAGACCCCCCAGGTGGCCGCGTGCGCTCCGGGAAGAGTCAACCTGATAGGGGAGCACACCGACTACAACCAGGGCTTCGTGCTCCCCATGGTAAAGCCTCCCACCTCCTCCGGGAGCCGGGTCCAGACCCTGGTTCAGGATTAGGAACGGACCAGAGTCCAGACGCTCTCAGGGGCACGCGCCACGAACCGGGTTTGGGTCTCAGAGCCGGGGTCACGTGGCATAAGGGCAGAAAACATGACGTAATGAAACGAAAGAAGCGGAAAATATCGCTGTCCCGGGTCCACATCCTGCTGTTTACGTCCGCACATCGCAGAGGATGTCCGGGGGGGGGGGGGGGGGGGCACTCTCTCCATCACACACATTGTTAATAAAAAATAACTCGTTTTTTTTTTTTTATTGAACCCCTTTTTGTTGATGGCTGGATGCAGATTTTTTAGACTTTCTCGCAGAAGGTCTGCAGATGTATGAGCTGATTGGCTAATATTTCAGAATCCACACATTAGTGTTGTATGAATATAAGTACATTATGATTTGTTGGGATGTGAACATTGTTACATCTGTAAATCTGCTCATCATTGTGGGTCTGTGGAGGCAGGAGTGTGTATCTGTGTGTGTGTTATCCAGTTCAGGCTCACAGCAGGTTCTAAACCCTCATTCTGGGAGATGACAGAAGGCTCAAACATTTTTAAAATGATTTTTGTTACTGGAATTGATATCCACCAAAACATTATATTTATTAATATAATGTAATGTTATAATGTTTTATATTTGGAAATCAAATCATGCTACTACACTACGTAAAAAAAAGCTTCTTACAGAATTGCTTAAATAGAAATTTAGTTGCAACTTAAAACTTTAATGTTCTACTAAAAACTATTGCATAAAGAAGACATAGTTATTATAAAATTCTTTTAAAGGGGTGAGCAGAAATAGATTCTATACAAATGTGAAAGTCAAACCTTTCTTGATGCACGTTAAGCTAAAGAACACATAAATAACTAGAAAAACCTGAACATTTCATGGTTATTTTTCAGATGGACTGAGGTGAATCTTTCCTCTGTGATGATAACAGTTTCTATTTTTAGGCTCTGCCCCTCGTCACGGTGGTGGTGGGGAGCAAAACCTCTGGGCAGGATGTTACCGTGGTAACGGCGACGGAGGGTACCGATGAACCTGTCCGAGTGGACTTCAGCCTGCCCACCGACGGATCCCCCCTGGCTCCAGGGTCGCCCTGCTGGGCCAACTATGTGAAGGGCGTCATACAGCACTACAGGGGTAACGTCTGTAGTTCTACCAGCAGCGTTCAGGAGGTCTGGCCATAAGAAGTCATAGATGTGGATTTTTAAAAATTTAAGTTAAATTCAATTGTATATCTATAGCTCCACATTACAACAACAGTTATCTCCCAGCTTTCCAACCAGAGCAGCTCAGACTCTGAGTTATTTACAGAAGAACAACAGTTCCACCAAGAGCAGCACTAGGAGACACAGGGAGGAAACAACTTCCTAAGAGGTAGAAACCTGGAGCAGAACCAGAGAGGGGGGGGCATCTACTTCTGCCGGTTGGGGGTGAGAGACAGAGAGGGCAAGATAGAGAGAGAAGTAGGCAGCCTCCACAGTAACACAGATTGGATGAAAAATGGTTCAGATATTGATAGTAATGGTAATGATAGCAGCAATATCAGCAATAGGACTATGAACAGTGGTTGTAATTGTGGGGAGGGGGGGCATCTGAACATTGAGTGTAACGTCTGGACCCTCTCTGGGCTTCAGCCCCTCCTCTGCCAGGTTTCAGGGCTGTGGTGGCCAGCAGCGTGCCTCTGGGCGGGGGGCTGTCCAGCTCCGCCTCTCTGGAAGTGGCCTTCTACACCTTCCTCCAGCAGCTCAAACCAGGTCAGAGTCTGGACAGACGTGGGGTCAGACGGTCCCTGATGGCTGGTCTGAAGCCACTGCTGCCTCCAAACTGGAACTAGATGCTTTCCAACAGGATTCAGACCCGTATTGTTTGTCATTTTAACTGTTTGATTGTCCTTAATGAATAATCAGTCAATGATTTTCATCCACAGCAGGAAAATAACGGATACATTATTGTTTTGATGTGTTGTAGAGAGATGATTTGGTTTAATCACTGAAATGAGTTAAACACTAAACTCTAACAGGAGCTAATTATTGATTTCAATATTGATATAGTATTATATTATAATATTATATCAATATTTAAAATCATTTCCCTCTGGGATTATTAAAGTATTTCTGATTGTGATTTCTGATATCGTAATGAACCCTTCATTTGACAACCAAATCAGAATCCATCTAGAATTAAAATGCTTTATTAGCACGAACAGGCTGTTAAAAACCGGTTCAAGGGAAATTAATTTCTGCTCATTTTTTCCTTTTTTTTTTTGATAGTCTGGTCAAGAGGAAACTATTACCATGTATTTCCTGAATTAGATCCCGTTGTGTTGGTTGTGATGAATATGTTCCACCCATGCTTGATATGAGTTTCCAGTCTTGGTAATTTCTCACATCTCAACATTGCTTTTATCCCATCAAGTACATGGAAAAAAAACATGTTACTTTTGTTGAGAGCACATATTTGGGTGTCCCATGTCACCAGAGAGTGGAAACCTACTAGAACTCCGCCCTGGTGTTGTTGTAGTGTCCAAAGTCCACTAGCCTGCTGGCTGAAACCGGACCCCTGAGCCCTGCCCACCGGCAGCCAGCCTGGTTAGACCCCAGGTTAGCCTTGGAACTTCAGAGTATGAGTCCAATAAAAAACCATAAAAGGAAACGTTTCAGCACGAGAAAGCAAAGGAGTTCAGTGTTTGTGAATGCATGGTTTTGAATGGGGAGTGTGGATGAGGGGGGGATGCCAGGGCTGGTTTTAATCCTGATAAAGGAGTTCAACAATTAGACAAAAACATGCTGCTTCATTGCTGAAAGGGACTCATGTTAGCCTCTTTAGTTTTAATCTGGTGTAAACATCACAGAAGGCTGCCAGTAGATGGCAGCACGAGGTCTCTGTATAGCAAAATTGTTAAAACCAGCTCTCACTATGTCAACTGTTAATGAATTAATCACATAGTTACACACAATCAATGTAAAGGTGCTGGCGGCATCTTCATGATTCTTTGGTCAGAATCAGAAGTTATGTCGTCTTCAGTGGGTCGGACCTGTTATTAGATGAGAGATTTTGCCACATCTGGAGGATCATAGCCCTAATTGTCAGACAACTGGGATGGCTGGATTCCTTTGTCTTTGTTCACATCTGGGTCTTTGCCCTCTATTTGAATGGGATACAGTGATGAAGTTGAAATGCAAAGTTTCATGTTCCTTATTTCAAAACCTTCTTCCAGTCAAACGCATTTTCACAGTCATAGCTGCCCATTAGCCTTCATTTGACCTGAATCTCTGTTCTCTACTCTGTTCCAGATGATGGAGACAAGGTGTCCAAAGCGCTAGCTTGTCAGCAGGCTGAGCACACCCATGCTGGTGTTCCCTGTGGCATTATGGATCAGTTTGTGTCTGTTCTTGGTTTGGAGGGGCACGCTTTGCTCATTGACTGCAGGTAAACTGAACACAGGGAGAACCCAGTCCCTCCTCACCAACAACAGAGGCTTGCTTTAGCCCTTTTCGTTTTTTAAAGACAAAACACTCCAGTTCAGAAGCTTTTTGTGCTGTGACCCAGGTCTCTGGAGGCCATCCCGGTCCCTCTGACTGACCCAGGCGTGGTCATCCTTATCACTAACTCCAATGTGAGGCACTCTCTGACTGGCAGCGAGTACCCAGCGAGACGCAGGCAGTGTGAGGAGGCCGCCTCCGCTCTGGGGAAAAACTGTCTCCGGGATGCTAGCATAAAAGACCTGGAAGGTAAGGAGCGTTTTTACCTGACCCAGTTTGCCTCACACTCTCTTTGCTGAACTTAAGCAAGAATAATCTCTTTGATAACAAAGAACACTGCATTTTCACTGGAGGCTGTGTTTGTGCAAAAAAGAGTATCAGATAATTTAAGTAAACCTGACTGACATATGTGTTTAAGAAAAGGGAGAGTTTGGTTGGATTGTTTAGTGCAATGCATTTTTTAAGATGGTCATTAGCATACATCCCACATTAAAATTCCAGAGTTCTCATCTAGACCAGGGTCATTAAAGTTGGTTGTAATAATTGTTTTTAAACCCAAATAATTCTGGATTTTGTGGACTTTGAATTTCTATTTTCCAGTTTAGCATTTTTCTTATAGATTTTAGATTTTTATTTTTATGATCAGTGTTTTTGTACTTCTTCTATCATCATCTTCAGTATCTTTATTATTTCCTGTCTCGGATCCTCTGTCAGATTACCGTTTCTTCCCTTTCGTTGTTCTTGTAGATATCATTACAGGTTTTCTGTCTTAGTTTGGTTTTCATTTCCTTCTATATTTTTGTTTCTCAGGTTTAGTTTTTTGCTGTCCTACTCGGCCACATTTTTGGTTACAATTAGTTTAATACAAGTTTGCCTTTTATTTTATATCTCAAAATGATTAATTCATAGAATATAATGGAAAAATTTACAAAAATATTGATGAGGCTAACAGTCTTTCATAACGTTTCAGAGGCAAAAACTCGACTAGATGAGGTTAGCTATCGTAGAGCTCGTCATGTCATTGAGGAGATAGAGAGAACGGTCCAGGCTGCAGAAGCTCTGAGGAGAGGGGCCTACAAAGACTTTGGAAAGCTGATGTTGGAGAGCCACAACTCCCTGAGGTACAGTAGAAGAGTCTTTCTGTGTGGGCTGTCCTCACTGTTCTCGGTGTGTGATGGTGACCCAGCGTACTGGTGCAGAGATCTGTACGAGGTGAGCTGCAAAGAGCTGGATGAGCTGGTGTCGGCAGCCATGGAGGTGGAGGGCGTGTTCGGCAGCCGGATGACCGGTGGAGGGTTTGGGGGATGTACGGTGACTCTACTGGAGGCCAGCGCCGTTCACAAAGCCATTCTTCACATACAGGTATTCCACTAAAACTTTACCCAAGTTATTCACTGTGTACAGACGCTGTAAGGTTCGTACAGTCACACAACAGTAAGTGTAAAATACACAAGTTATTATTGAACAGACGCTAAAAAAAACACTGAAGCAGGGTAATTCAACTGTGTCCTGCAGGTTTCAGACGTTTTTCTGCTCTAACACACCGGATCTGATCAAAGAGATCCCTTCAAAAGCTCTGCACAGCCTGCTCACGTTGTGTTGTTGTGAATCAGGTGTGTTGAGCCAGGGAAACCTGCAGGACAGGAGTTGAATGCCCTTTCACTTAAGGAATGCATCGTGCTTTGCTCTGGTTTTGTATTATTGCTCAAACCAGTTTGAGCTTAAATAGCTGTGAATCAGCTGTGTTAGCTGAGTAGAATGGAACAGAATAGAACCCCGCCTGTCTGTAAACGTTGGAGAGAATAAAGCTGAACTAGCAGTTTAAAAAAGGTCAAATTAAAGATATCGTTGTATACAGAAGTTGAACAGAAGAGGTAACTTGTAATTCTCAAATAACACATTTAAGGTGGAAGATCTGGAGTCTGGAGTGAATGTTCAGATCTGCTACTCTGAAAGAAAGTTACATCTCAGGACTCTGTGTGTGCATGAAAACAGCTTCTGGGGGGCTTAAGAGTAGAGTTCATAGAAAACGAGGACGAAAAAAATGTGATATAGGGTCCAGATCTCCTGTTTCAGTGATTCTATAGACAAGACTTTAAAACATTCCAGTGTGTCGAACGTGGACATTTGTGTTCTTTAATGAGAAAATGAATGAATACAAAATAGAAATCATTTATTATATGTGCTCTATCTTTGACAGGAAATGTAATTGTTACATAGTAGGAGTACAATTGGTCTTATGGATTGTTTACCACAGAAGGAGGAAGATCCAGGAGATAACCCAAACCAACCCAGTACACTCTATTCCAGTCCAATCCATCTTTATTCTTAAACCAGTAAATGAAAGCGACAGAAGACATAACAGCAGAAGCTTAAACAACATGAAGCCAGTTGAATAAAACCAAAAAGATCAACATCTTAAAAGGTGTTAGAAATCAAAAACTGATCATAAAGAGGCCGGTTTAATCTTGAGCGAGGTAGTGAAGAAGGTTGTAGAACTCAGAAAGGCCAAGGAGGAGCTTAAAAGCTAACTTTAAAGAGCTGTACCTGCACATCCTAAATGAGGAAAAGAAAAAAGGAAAGAGCATTTATCGTTTGTTTTAGATTCAATTAATTAAAGCGTCCAAATGAATTGGTTTGGTTTGGATCTCTTTTTTGAATAAAAATATTGAATTGAAATCATCAGATTGGCGTGTACCTCTCCTCTGGCCTGGAGTCATGATTATTGAAAAGAAAATAGAACCAGAGGAAGCATGCCTTATTTCAAGGAGTTTATACTGCCACCTAGAGGCCAAATGTCTTACTGCCGCTGTAATGCAGGAGGACATTTTCTTAGCATATCACAAATGTGATGATGACACAACGACCCTCATTATATTAGATATTTATAGAAAAACTGTGAGTTTAACCACAGGATGTCTGAATTTTACTCTTCATCTCCCACATTTCCCCACCGCTTTAATAGTCCAGATATTAGCATGCTGGTCTTTTTAAATAATGGGACATACTAATAGACACAGGTTGCTGTAGGTTTCTTGTAGAAAAGTTACGATACGGCTTTAAAATCCTTCCAGGCTCAGAATAAACCAACACAATGAGATCATTATCTACAAACTGATATTTGATGAGACTGTAGCTGTAGTGTTTGTCTACCTAAATGTGGACATAGTTTGACTTTGCATGCTTATTGTTGCTTGCTCTGAGCTTATCTTAGAATCAATCATTTTCTCTAAGCGTGACTTAGTTTTATGGAAGTGTTTGGGTTGCAGATTATGTTTGAAATGAGAAATGGAAAAGGATAATGTTGCTCACAGGGGATAGAACGAGCCTTTCAGGGTGGGGACTGACAGTCTACGGGTGGCATTTCAGACAAATTGCCCGGTCCCGTGTGCATTGCACACACAGCTCCAGTGTGTGGGAGAATACGTGTGAGAGTGATGGATCAGTATGGATGAGCTGCGGGTAAAAGAGAACTCCAGACAGAGTCAGAATTGTCCAGACATTAGCATGCTGCTGTGGTCACTGCCCCCTCGCTGCCTTTTTGCAATAACAGTCACCCCATTGGACTGCTGTTGTCGGACTCCACTTAGATTTTTACAGGAGATGCCTCGACAAAGCCGTGGATTTCTGCCTGTAAGTGAGCGGGACAAACAGAGAGGCTCTGGCACGTCTCTCTGAAGCCACAGCAAGACCACAGAAAGAGCAGCATCAATCTTACGGTTCTACAAATCCTCAGCTTTTGACTCAAACCTGGCAGATTTTCTTGCGTCCCTCCAAACTCGGCTGTATCCTGGCGACTGCTGTGTCTTGCTGACCATGAAAAGAACCTAGCCTTTCTTCAGGACAAAGAAAACACTTGGAAGTTCCACATCTTTCAGTTCTCAGCATTCCTGACCAGTTCAGAGGGACCCTGGTCTTCTCACCAGCAGCACCACAGACCTGTTCTCCAGGGCCTAGAAACCTCTTCTCCACTCCCAAGATGTTAAATCTCAACTCTCCTGATGACAACAGCAACAGGAGCTCTCTCCGGGATCCGGTGTCCCTGAATGTTGGTGGGGAGATTTACACCACCACTCTGGACACGCTGACCCGCTGCCGCGACTCCATGCTGGGGGCCATGTTTACCGGGCAGATCCCGGTGCGGCGGGACCGGGCGGGCCATGTCTTCATCGACCGGGACGGCAGAGTGTTCCGGCACATCCTGAACTACCTGCGCTCCAGTGCCCTGGACCTGCCCCACGGCTTCTCAGAGCTCTCCTTGCTGCGCAGGGAGGCTGATTTCTTCCAGATACACCCTCTGCTGGAGGAGATACGCCGCTATGAGGCTGCGATGGCTCTGGGATTAAGAGGAGGGCCTCTAGGAGCCATGATTATTGTTAACCTAGACTCCACGGTATGTGTGAAAAGGTTTCTGAGATATGTCGGAAAACTAATTAAGTCAGCTTTAGATAGGTCGCTTGTAATTCACCTCATCCAAAGAATGTGGATCAGCTACTCTTATATTAGAATAATACGTTTAAAATAAAACAATGTGTAAAGTTAATTCTAATTTCCAAACATATGCTTGTGCTGTCTTGAAAGTGTCATGCATACAGTTGCCTTTAAGAAATGATCAGCTTTCACCAGTTATGACACAGGGCAGTAATTCTACAAACTACCTGACAAATGAAGAAAGTGTTCATATCCAGAGCTCTGTATGTGTTTGCATGATGAATATAGCCTGTAAAAATACAGCATTAAGGTGCGCCAGGCACTACTATGTTTTACAGAAAGATTTTGTTATCTTAAGTCAGTTTGTTCTCACTGTTCCTCCCTCTGTCGGACTTTTTACACTGTAGAGCTGATGGATAATCTGCATAGTTTCTTTACATAACAAGGGGAGAGCAAACATCTAAATGCTATAACAGGTTAGATTGTGATGCTAACAAGAGCTTTGTATTCACTTCTAGAGGAACATTTGATCACATTAAGTTAAGTGAAATGTTCCTGTTAGCTGATTCACAAAATAAAAGTGAGCTAGTGTTTAGTTTCCACACAGAATGTGTGTAGAGGTTTTCTTTGTGCCCCCATTTGAAATCCAGAAAACCAGAATAACTTGGCTTTTGTTTGTGTACACTCTAAAGAGCGTGTAGTCAGCGTATTCTCTCTCATTCTAGGTGCGTGTTCTCCATTTTAACTTGCGGCATGGCCCAGAAAACTATGAGCTCTGCACATGCTCTGTTCAAGCCTTCACAGTGGACCTGTTTTGTACCTGGGGGGCTTTTCTGGTGCTGCTGTGTGAGCGCCTGTCCTACAGGACATCCCAGGGTCTCTCCCACCCTCAGCCGTGCAACCTGAGACAGAGCCGGCTGAAACTGGAGTGGGTGCCCAGACCTGACCAGCTCCCGCAAGACCAGTACGACAAGCAGCGCTACCGGGGGCTGTGTGTGCTCCCCCCCGAGGCTGCCCGCCCCCACGACAGCACCAAGACCCCCCCGGGGCTGTGCGAAATCACAAACATGCCCTCTTTTGTGGAGGAGCTGCTGCAGATGTCTCTGGCGGAGGGATTCAAGGTGGACCTGGTCACTCCCAATCCAGCCGAAATCCTGAACTGCACCTCCCTCCGACTCATTAAGAATTAAGCCTGTCATTAACCGGATCCAAATCCTGGGACTATTATTTGAATATTGTTGATAGCGAACAGCTGCTTTAGGTTTCCTGGTCATTAAAAGTCAAACTGTTTGTTTTAGTCTTGATTTGTAGCTGCAGCACAGAAAAAAGAGGAAGTTCACAGTTCTGGAGTTTACACAGTAACCTTCTAAGGAAGATCCAGTCATATAATTAGATTACTGGCAATGGGTAGTTTTGTTATTGAATAAATGCGTGTATGATTATATTAGAATTACACACATGGAACTGGTACTTTTTCTTTGTCTCTTGTTTACTTTCAGATAGTTTGCACTGTTTAATGTAAAGCTGTCTTCGTTTGATTAAAACGAATGATTTTGTTTGAGAGTTTTCGTTGATAGAAAAAAGTTTGATTAAAAAAACTAACTGGTTCTTTCCTCTTGTTCTATCTCTATTCCTTTCTTAAGTATTACAGAACGATTGGTTTGAGCCATTTAATTCTGTGTTTGTTTGGTATCCGTTAGGATATTGAACTGTATTTTGTATTTGCTGATAGTTGAATAAGGTTGATGTGCTGACCATGTCTTTTTTTTTTTTAACAGGAGCGATACAGTGGAATTCCAACTTTCTACGTCACAACTCCTTCAAAGGGAGCACAAGCCCTCACACTATCCTGATGTGTTAGCATTACTGCTGTATGAAAAGATACATTCCTGTTGTTTCAATCATTTTTTATTTTTTTTTGTTAATTTTTTATTTTAAAACTCTAATGAATACTAAAAAATAAGACCATACATAAAAATCTTTCAGATTTTGGTTTTATCTTATGGTGAGAATAAGATTGAATAACTGTATATTTTTCACGTAATTTGCTTTATTAAAGAACATATTTTAAAACTCAAATGTGACATTATTTGATCATTTTGAAGATGTATTTTCTAGATATGAGCACCTGCAGTTTGTGTATTGATAGAGGAGAGTGGTAGTGACACACACAAAAAGATAAACACTAGTCAGCCACAATAGTCCAACAGATAAAGGACGTAATCCTGCTAATCTTGGCATTCTTAGCCTTGAATTAGCTTAGGATGGGTTCCCTTAGCCTCCAAACAACATACAATGTAATTGTATTTGGTAGAATACTTTTGTTCCTAGGGGAAAAAAAGGAAACATTATGTTTAGGCTGAGTCCTTTGGTCCATAATACTTTTCAACACATGCAGATTTTTCTGTTCAGCTTCAGATGCTTCTATTAATTTGAGCAGTTTCTGGCTCACTAGCTCTGACTTAACAGATGGTTGGAAAGCTGATTCCACCCTCCACCAAAGACTTATTGAAGATATGCAACATGTCGGTGCAGCTGCTGAAGGAGCTAAGAGTCCTTACAAAGTCCTGCTTTGTTCCTGCTGCATTTCTGCTGACCGGTCTGCTGACCAGGTAAACTATCACTACATCCAACTCTTCTGAGATGGAAATGGAATTTGGCTGACCAGCTGCCCATGCACAGACTCTTGTCCATTGCCAGTAGACATCTGAGTATTTCTGAGGACAACAGACTTTGGGTAATACTAAAAGTCTGATGAGTACAGAGAGAAAAGATCCAGTAAGAGTACAGTCCTCTACTGTGCTGCTGAGCACGTTCTCAGACTCACAACCCTTCACTTTCAGTCTAAGGCAGAGCAGACGGTAGGCTGATATCCCCATTGGTGGGCAGCAAGTACAATATCTGGAAACCATGTACAAGTAAAACATCCACGTTGTGTCAAACAATGACACCATCCACTAGAAGTTGGCTTACAAATACCTCACTGCAAAACCCGCAAAGCCCAAAGGATCAGTTACCAATGTCCCCATATCATACAGTCCAGGACAACCTTGGTATTATTTATCTAATGTGGTCTCAACATGTTGAGAACCTGCAAAATCTCTTCCATCCATTTTCCTCTGCATATCTGAGGTTGAGTTACAGAGATAACAAGTTCAGCAGAAAAACCAAGACACCTCTCTTTCCACCCACACTCTCCAGATCCTCCTGTGAGATCCAGAAACCTGTTGGCACACCTGGAAAGTCTCTAATGGACACCACCAGGATGAATACAAACCAGTGGCCAGAACCAGTGGATCTACTCCAGCTCCCTCTGGATGTAGGCTCTCCTCCCCCTATAGCTAAGTCTGAGTCCAGCCCCCCCTGAAGAAAATTTATTTTAGTCACTTGGAATCACCACCTCATTTTTTGGGTTACTTCCCACATCTGTGACATCTGTAGTATACTAAAAGCTTTGGTGCCCGGCTAAGCCTTCGTGATTATTATTTATCATATCATTAGGCACAGTATTAACTATCAACGTATATAGTTAACTCTGCAAGCAAGAGCTTTTTTGCCTTTTCTGCTCAAGTACATTTCCTCCTGAGCTGGCAAGTTATGGAAAATTATCCGTTTTGAGTTTGAAATTATGATAAATTGTTATAAATTATTTTGAATGCACCTCTGCAACTGTATGTAACTCAACACTGAAGATTGTGTCCTCTGAAATGGCATTTTGTGGTGAAACCAAAACTGTTTAACATTTGTATTCTGAAATTAATCAAAAAGCCACTGTGAGAAAAAAAAGCTTTTGTCCATGCAATGATCAAGGAAAATAAAGCATTTGTACCGCATAGTGTGGGGCTGTAATGGCTACTGTCACCATTTGAGCCTGGATCTGCAGACATAACAGCTTTTTCGCAGAACATGAAGTAATGCAAGGCAAGGCAGGTTTATCTGTACAGCACATTTTGTGTACAAGACAATTAAAAGTGATTCACAAGGAATTTAAAAGCAGGAAAACAAGAAAAGAAAAAGAATCAACAATTAAATTAGATAGATAAAAAAGTGAAGGGTGCAGATCAAATCCATCCAGTTTCCACATGCACAGTTAAACAGAAGCGTTTTCATCTGGATTTAAACATTCACAGAGTTGGGTTCTGTCTCACGTCTTCAGGAAGTCGGATCCAGATTTTAGGAGCTGAAATGAAGTAGTCAGCAGATCAGAGTTTCCTCGGTGTCTTTGAACGCACCATTAGGGCGGAGTTACCCACAGTTAAGTTTAGCCTAGCAGGAAACACCGAGGCAGGCAGCACAGCGCTGGGAAAGAAAAGGCGTCAAACCCGGAGAAAACCCGGTCCTAATGTGTTTTATCCCGCGACGAGCCCGCCGGCACCCCACTCTGCGAACACTGGTCACTTTTTCATTGGCTTTGTGAGAGATAGGAGCTCCGTAACATTGGGCAGTGACCGGACGTGGAATCCAGCGGCTGGGAACGGTGGACAACGGCTGAGAAACGGCTGTTTGGAACCAGGTGGGTCGGGGGGGCGGCCCGGAGCTTTCCGCCGGGCTGCGGCCCACAGGTGCTGAGTGCAAGTTCTGGGGCCAACTACTCCACAGCCCCCGGTGTTCCAGGGCGCTTAATCAGCCCCCACCTGGGAGGCTTCAGAGGAGGCTAGCTGGAGTTAGTTGCCAGATGTCACTCTTCGCTTGTTCCGTCGCTAGCTGGCTAATTTTTAACCCTGGAAATGTTCCACGCAGCCACCAGACAGGGTGTCGGGCAGGTCGGCGTCCCCCCCCCCGAAACGCCATTTCATTTATCTTTTTCGGAACAGAAGGTTTAGCCTCATGCTTAAGTTAAATAAAGTGGTCATGGAGCATGCATTGCGGGAACAGCCTCCCGGTTCTTCTACGTTAAAGTGGCTCGTTTGGAGTTGTGTGTGTGTGTGGCTCTATAGTTGTGTTTCTTTGTCGCCATTAACTGGTGTTAAAGTCGCTGTCGTGGGGAACAAAGTGCGTGGAGTGAGCTCAGTTCGGAGGTAAATGCGGGACCTGCTCTGGGTTAGACCGGGACCAGGGGAGCTCGGCGTTTGTCACCGCCGGTGGACGGGTCGCAGGTTGAGTTGCATAATTCCGGAAGCGTCGAACAAGGTGTGTCTCCCGGCAGGTGTGTTGGGAAGCCGGTGAGTCAACGGTCTCGTTTCGGGCGTGAGGAGGTGGAGCGGGGCGGGGGGGGGGAATGAGGAAGGAGGGTTTACAGCTCATGTTTGGGATTTTTTGGAAAATGACAGCGTTTGAACTGTTAGAACTCGAGCTGCACGCGCACTGTGACTGGAGTCGTCGCTAGCAAAGCGGAAATACCCGGGCCGGGATGGAAGGTGTTTTCCTCCCGGGTAGTGAGCCAGCTTCCGGGCCGGGGCGGGCCGGAGGGGGCACTCCTGTGTCGGCTGGAGACTCTGAGCTCCTCCACCTGCCTTCAGACGTCCACCTGAAGCCGGTGGAGCTGCAGGTCCTCCCGGAAGCAGGGTGAGCCCCCAGGGTGAGCACCCAGGGTGAGCCCCCAGGGTGAGCCCCCAGGGTGAGCCCCCAGGGTGAGCCCCCAGGGTGAGCCCCCAGGGTGAGCCCCCAGGCCTCCAGCTGCCCCACAGGAGCAGTCCTGAACACCAGCAGGGGTTCGGGAGTGTGATGTGAATGCACAAGATCAGTTTAAACTCTGAGATGGGATTAATATTGTTATGCTGTGATCAATGTCACATTGACCCCTCTTTTAGTTCCCAGTGTCTATTACGTTATCAGGCAGGAAAAGAAGCCCTTTAGCTGATGGACGCATCAGAGATGGAGATGTCCACCTTCTCTCAACCTGGTAGCAATCAGCCCACAACATCTCTAAGAGTTCAACTTCACGAGCATGTGGTCAGCTATCTCAGCATGTAAGATTTGGGAAAGCACCAAGATCCACACCGGCTCTTCTTTCTTTACCCGTTGGCCGCAGAGGACATAGTTCCTGTGGTGTGAGGAACAGTGATGGCTGGCAGTGGGGAGGGGGTGATCACAATCCAGCCTCCTGGAGGTGTCATGGGCCCAGCTAGACCAAACACTGAGTAAAGGAGGTTCCCACTTCATAAGCCCAATGACATGCTGGTCAGCTCTGCTCACCGGTCCATAAAAGGGATCCCTGTTTAAATGTTGAAGTTAGAGTTCTGTCCATTTGATTCTTGTTTACTCTACATTTCCACACATGGACTTTGAAGAAGTCCATCCATCCATCCATTATCAATACCGCTTATTCCCTGATGGGGTCGCGGGGGGGAACTGGAGCCTATCCCAGTGGTCAACGGGCGAGAAGCAGGGTACACCCTGGACAGTCCGCCAGTCCATCGCAGGACTTTGAAGAAGTGTTAAAAACAATTCTGACCTTCTAATTTAGATGGTGTTTTAATGAGGTTGTGCCCTGAAGCAGAAGTAAAATGACTTAAAGGAAATCAATGTCCACGGTTCGGCCTGGAGCAGCTCTACGCCGTTTAGGTGGTTTTCATCACAAATTAGGGCCAAGCTGTGTTTGTATTTGTTTCACACCAAAGTAAATTTGCATTTAAAGAAAGTGCTCCCTAAAATCACCTGTTGCACTTCTGCTGTGCTGTTTAGTCGTTTTTAGTTTGGCCGTTTCCTCTTCTTCTGTTACTTCTGTTTATGCCTTTGGAAAAGTTAAAGAGATCCTTTTTGTAAATGACAGAATGACTTGGCAGACAAATGGCTGTCATCAGAAATCTGAGATTCCCTTGCAGAGACGTTTTGTTTTCTGATCTCGGCTCTCTTCTGTCTGCTTGTGGTTTTGATTACAAGCAGTGAGTTGGTGGGAGATATGTTTCCTGCCAGCCACACCCCAAACTGACAAGATCTCTTTTCTGTTGTGTTGTCAAAGAAGCATCTCCATTCAGCTTGCTGATGGGGGTTGTGGGGGACCCGCCCAGCACTTTATTAGCTACATTCTTGTCTTGTTGAGGATGGAAAAGTTGCTTAAAAGGCTGTTTCTCCTATTTATCAAATGCCTGATGGTCTGTTTCTTAATTCATAGATGCCCTCTTGCTACTCTCCCAGATAAACGCTCATTAAACCCTGAACAGCTCCCGCCTGCTGACCGACCTGTTGCTATCACACCCAGCCGGAGCTGTGTCCAGGGATGTGTCCTCTCATTTGCTGGCTCGTACATTTCTGCCTAATTGTTTCTGGCTTCAGCAGATGTCAGTCAGGGAGGCGAGGATATCCATCTCGGCCTGTTTCCCGGTTAGCTACAAGTGCTCGCTAACCGGGTGGTTGCATAAGTGCAGCGCTGGGATGTTTTGGATGCCAGGCATTTCCTGGCCTCTGCTGTAAAGCGTGTTTGTGGAGATGCAGGCCATGCAGCAGCTCCTCCTGCTGCGCTCTGCTGCTCTGTCCAGGCATGTTAGCGCTTTTTTTTTTCTCTGTCGACTCCCTTCCCAGGTTAGATGAGTCAGTAGATATCCTGGGAATTTGATGACATCACTAAAAGTGGAATGGAAGATAACAAATGGCATTCAGCTACCAGAGACGGTTGATCAGAGGGTGACTGGCGGAAGAGTCAACAAGGCTGTTGAATTTCCTATCAAAAGTAAATAGAAGCTCTTGTGGAAGGCCTACGTCACTGCAGATCAAACAATCTGATGGCAGACTGAATTTTTAATCATTACTCTTTACTGCCCCTGTTGTGCTGAGTGGAATGCAGAGGAAAACCCACATCTGGGTAGGCTGATCTCACATATGGACTGGAACTGGCTGACGTTCTTCTGATTGACATGAAAAATGTCTAAATAAAGTCTGTTAATATTAAAAACGGGCAGAGGCCATGTTTACAAAATGTGGAGGAGGATGTTCCATCATCAACACCATATGAATCAGCAAAAGATTAGACAAACTTTAGAATAATATATTGAGATCCGTAACAGTCGTGCTATCAGCAGGATCTCCTTAATAAATAAATACCTTTTTTTTAAAAAGAAGAAAATAAGAAGCAGCAGCATGACAACAGGGCAAAATTAACTGAGTGCACAGGAATAAAAAGCATCCCATCACATCCTCACTGTGCATTTTGGTGCATAATTGCAGCCTTGCTCTGTTACTTAAAGATGGGTGTTGAATTTAAGGAAGTAGCAGTGACTAACAGTCTGCCTTTGTGTCTGTGTGTGATGTCCAGTTTCACAGAAGTTTCCCTCTACCTGCAGGGGGAGGGACAGGCTTTGTTTGGAATTGGTTTGTCTCTCTTTTAGGACTTTAGCCCCATGCTTTAACTGTACCTTTCATCCACACATCGTAGAGATGGGCCATGTAATGTGAGCGTGGACTGAAAAGCTGAAATGACACTGAAAGTGTGAAAAGCCAACACCCTTTACTTTGAGAAGTCACACTCGGTCCTCTCATTCTCCCTGATGGTGTCGTATTGATGTTGTTGTTGATGCATTTGTGTGTGCTAAGGCCTTTATCTTGTCATGTCTACCCCCATAACGAGTAACTAATTACAGATGGAAGTATGACTTATGTCAGCAGATTTATTTTAAGGTTTGATTATGGATTATTAGAATAATATATTTGTCTAAACTAAGATTGGACTGTAAACTCTAATACTTAGTAACAGAGCAGAATCATTAAAGCAGAGAGTTATGCAGTAGGGGGCATTAGTACAGGACGTCTGGCAGCCAGTTTGTCAGCTTCCTGCACCAGTTCCCTGACTGTTCTGGTTTTATTTAGACAGCTGGAGGTCCAAATGGCACCTTCCAGCCGTGAGTCAGTGAGTGCTGCTGATATGAGGGTAAGAATAGAAGAATGGATGGATTTGGATCAGGGCAAATTAGCTAGTTCAGAGCCCTCTGAGTCACAGCTTAGGCCTTTATCACAAGGTTCTGGCTCATGTGTCTGACTGCTGCTCAGCCAACATCTCTCATACTCAGGGACCCCTCCGTCCTAACCACAAGTGCCCGTGAGTGAGGAGGAGCAGAGGCCTCCTCTCTGTGGACCGTCATTGTGCTTCAGAGGCAGCGTTCACCTGTTAATTACACACAAAGAAAGTCTTTGTCTCGGCAGATTCAACCTGTCCATGTTTTTTCTGGGATTCTAATGGAAGGAATGCTTCCCCCATTCTCTACCTTTTTCTTCCTCCCTCTGTGAAGGGGCCATTTAGTCAAGAACCATGTTTTAAAAAGCCTTAATCAGCTGGAAAGTCTCAGAAGTGATTTTATTTATAAAAAAGACAGTTCTTTACATAATTTGTGTTTACTTGTTGAATGTTAGGGACTGTCCTTTGCCTCGTTTGCTTTCTTAACCCATTTTTTCACCAGGAACAAAATTGATAAACCATGTGTAAACACTGTGTGGAAAATGACTTCTGCCAAAGCATAACTCTTGTGCTAACCATCTGGAATGATGTATAAACTTTGGTGCCCCCCCACAGGGTGCATCGGTGGGCCTGCAGGCTCCAGGCTGGCGCTGAGACAGGATGAAGAGGTTCAGACGACATGGCCATGAGAGCCAGAGGGATCGACTCAAACAGGAGCTCTTTCAGTTCAACAAGGCAAGTCAACCCTAAAGCCCCACAGGTCAGATCTGTCCAGCTCAAACGGCTGACAGATGACCTTCTTAGACTGGATGCAACACTCGCTGTCAGTCCATCAAATGATCTACTCAAACTGTGGGCACCACTTCTAACGGAGTTCAATGAGCTGTCAACAAGAGGCACTGAAAATGTAATGAGTGAATCCCAGAGGTGAGACGGCAGGGGGAGAATGATTTGGGCCTGGAGCTTACTGGAGAACTCTGGGAAAAATCCTTTAAAACTCCTATTTGCAGGGTAATGGCACCCACACATTCATGTGTTTTGGTCCTTCTCACAACTAAAAGGTTTCTGCCAATTGATATTTAAAACTCTTCCAGAAGTTCTACGAGTGCCGATAGAATTCTCTGCCATTACCTCTTTTATTTGGGACAAGATACTTGTCTTAACCACCAGGCAGAGCACATGATAGCCTTCACCACACTCCCCCAGCCTTTAAAATGTTAATGGCTTGTTAGTCACAGTTACTGTACACACACATGTAATTAGCAGATATTTTTTTGACTATCTGTACTCTTGTTTTCTTCTTTGCAATTATACTTATTCATACATTAAGAACTCTGACTTAACATCTGGATGTGTGGTCCTCAGTATATAAATGATGTTACTGTTTCCATCACAGGGAACTAGGCCACTCCCTCTGAAGGAATCTAGATAGAACTGGGTTAACCTCCTTTAAATATTTTACTGCACTCTTCTTTTAATGCCCAAAATGTCCTTTTAGCCTATCCAAGCTGGCATTGAGTCATGAGAAAATTGACCTTATTTTGCTACCATCAAAGTGTGTGTGTGTTTCATTTGAATTTGAGTTGATCCTCCAGACTGGGAATCAGAGCACTGAAAATGAGGAGAAAATGCTGGTTACCCAGATGGTAACCGATATGCTGAAATCGCTGAGTCGGACTGAATTCTGGCAGGCTGTGTCATCTCTGTGCTCCCCTGGTCACAGTCCTGTCCCCCCCTCTGCAGACGGTGGAGCATGGCTTCCCCCACCAGCCCAGCGCTCTGGGCTTCAGCCCCTCTCTGCAGCTGCTGGCCATCGGCACCCGCTCAGGTGCCATCAAACTGTATCCTTTCCCCAAGCTATGCATGGATTCTTTTTTTTTTTTTTAGTCACAAAGGTATCTCAGGGTCGTGTTTGAACTGGAGTTGGATAGTGTTAATGAATGACTAACACTGGGAACCCCTTTTCTGGTCCAGGTCCCAGGTTTTCCCACGCCGTGGTTCTGCTGCTGGCATGATCTGATACTGGAGTCTGTTTCACCATTGTCATCCGCACAATCCCGCCCATTGACAGTGTGGTGGAGTCAGTCTGTACAATCACACCATTGAAAAGCAGGCACTATAGTTTTGATAGCGGTGGTACCTTCTCTCATCAACAATGCTGGGGTTTGTTCCCGTATGAAACGGGGTGAGGGTTCAGGAAAATCTGCCGGACGCTGTGGGTCAAAGCACACAAAGGACATGGACATCTGTCTGTCTTCATGCAGCACACAAATCATTTGAATATGGGATGTTTTCGTCAGTTTTTTTCCCCACAAATGGATGCGCTTAGACAAAACCCCTCAACAGGTTTGTGCTTGCAGACTTGATCTGTGCTGAGGACGAACTTCCCCTCTCATGTTCAGACTGATAAGTGTGCAGCCTGTGGACTTCGGCCCACATGACACTAGAAGAACGGGAGATCTTTTCTAATGTTGGCTAAATAAATCTGACAGAAAACAGGCGGCTGTTGAATATGAAATCTTTCTTTTCTTTTTCTCACCGGGACATTAATGAGGCTTCAGCTTTTGATAAAGGCTTTGTCTTGTGTAAATGTAGCTGCGTTTTGCATAGGTCACGTCTGTCCTTAACCAGTTGCCAGTTATGGAGCTCCAGGGGTGGAATTCATGGGCCTACACGATGAGAATGCTGCAGTCACACAGGTGCACTTCCTGCCCCACCAGGTAACGTTAACAGCTGCACCACCGGAGACATTTGGAATCTCTTCCTCCCCACAATGATGTGCAGCACACACTGATTGTCACTTCTCTTTAGGTTGAACTGGTGACTTTGTTGGATGATAACAGTCTGCACATGTGGACTTTAAAAGGCCACAACGGGCTTTCTGAGCTTCTGGAGATAGGACGCTTCACGCTTACTGGACCACCTGGGTAAGAGACAGTTCCGGATTTTGGACTTTTAGCTGCAGAACTATTATTCCAATTGTCTTTATTCCTCTGAGAAATGTGCTATGGCAAAAATATACTTTCCTGTTGGCCATCATAAGACTAATCATTTAAAAATGTTTTTTTTTAAAGGATTTAGTTTTGGCCACAGAATTATTTTTTAATGATTGTTGGGGTGGGATGGGGTTTTTCATTTATGCTGCACTCTCCTTCACCCAAACACGAGAGCAGAGCATAACAAATGATGTCAACTCCCACTTGTCGTCCTCCCAAGTGCCCCCCCAAGTGTGACGAGTGTGACTGCAGTGCTGGCTCACTCCTCCGGGGAGCTGCTGCTGCTGGGAACCGAAGGAGGCCATATTTTCATTGTTGAAGTCCCAGGATTCAGAGAGCTGGAAGAGAGGAACATTAGCCTGGATCAAGTCACCAGCAGGTGGGTTCCTGCTGAATGGGCAGAGCTGTCAGCATTGATGTCTAACAATGCTTGGTGCTTCTGAGGAAGAGGTTATTTCTGAGAAGGTAATTATAGATCAGAAATAGGTCTTCCTAAATGTGTGCAAATGGATGCATTTATTTGCCATGAGGCACACAGTCCATTGTTACCAGATGCTGTATTCAGCAGAACATTGCATCAGGCTGAGGTGTCTCTGTTCTGAACTAGTTGGTGTTTGTTACTGGTAAACTGCTACATAGTTTGATATTTTCTGTTTCAGTCTGATCTTATCTATATGTTGTTATCATATAGATCATCTTAATGTTGCAGGAATCTGTCCACAGAAATGAAAACCTCTAGAACTAGTAAAAGCTGCCAGCTTTAATGCTAGTTTTTTGGAGGCTTCTTAAACGTAGATGATTGGAATGGCCTGCCAAGAGGTACATAGAACAGGTTAAACAATACCAATAATGCAATATAAACAAAAGTTTATGCTCTGGTTTTTGTAGTTTTTTCTTCCACTGTGTAAATGTTCCATAGTTCCTTTCACCATGAAATAATTTTCGGCTTTCTCATCTGCTCTTTCCTTTGTCTTCCCTTCAGCGTACCAGATGACTACATCGGTCGCCGGAACCTTGAACATGTGGAAGCCTTACAAGAGAACCCAATTAAGTCCAGTCAGGTTGTTATTGGATATGGCCGAGGTCTCATGGTAATCTGGGACTTGGAGAAACATTGTGCCATGCAGCACATCCCTGCCACGCAGGTGACTGTCACAAACTGTCAGAAATATTGCTGTTCATAGAGCTTGTTCTGACAGCGAGCCCATTCTCTGACCATTTCATGTGTTCTGTTCTAACCTAAGCAACTGGAGAGCATTTGGTGGACGGAGGACGGAAGCTATATTCTCAGTTCACACAGTGATGGAAGTTACTGTCGGTGGATGGTTGGAGCTGAGGATGTAAACGAGGAGGAGGAGGAGAAATCAGATATTCCATATGGTGAATAGGAAAAGCCTTCAACTTTAGAGTTTACAGCCACAGATTAAATGTCTTTAATGACACTTGTGATGTCTTTTATCTCTGCAGGCCATTTCCCCTGCAAAGCCATTTCCAAAATAGTTCAGCTCCCCACTAAAGAAGGGTAAATGCATCTTTTGATGTTTCTCCTACTTATCTCCTCTGTCCAGTTTTTCTAATGTTACTTTCTGTTTCGCCAGCATGGTATGTCAACCTATGTTGCTCATAAATCTCAGGATGGATAGAGTGAACGTGAACCTGTTTGTGTGCTTGTGTAGGCCTCCGTTCCTGCTGTTCAGCGGTGGTATGCCCAGGGCCAGCTACGGGGACAGGCACTGCATCACAGTAATCCACGGCAAAACGCACGTGGCCCTGGACTTCACCTCCAGGATCATTGACTTTTTCGTCATTCGTGATGGACCTCAGCATACAGGCAGGCAACACACATTAGCGGGCGATTAGATTGTAACATGATACACATATCATTTGGTTGGGTGACTATCAAGGAAACAGCTACAGCTGTTTGGGTGGAGATATTTCAGTGGTAGAGTGTTTAACTGTAGATGAAGAGGTCCCCAGGTCAACTCTTGGTGCCTCCCTTTGTACGTCGCTTTGGATAAAAGCGTCTGCTAAATGCATAAACGTTGCCTCTCATGCCACACTGCCATCTCACTTCATAGTGTTATGCTTGTTTTTACTCCAAGACCATTACACATAATGTTAAATAAAATGTTTACGCTTTCTCCTACATTATACAAAAGGAAAAAAACGTCTTTTCTTGCCAGAGATCGGTCTTAAGTTCAGCCTCAGTGAAAACAATCAGTACGTGGTTAAACCAATGATGCAACACTGATCCATTAGTTACCCTGTGTTACCTGCTGACACTGAGACATCATTGGCTAAAAACAACACACCGGCCAATGGTGATGTCTGAAGATATCTGCCACACCTACATCTTCACTCCCCCTTTTAACTTTCAGTGCATTTCTCTGTGCTTTAGGATCTGTAACAATAGCATTAATGATACTGCAGCAGTCCAACTTCCCTTCATGGACTTATAGCATTATTTAATCTAACCGGTTTGTGTAAGGGAAACACACCTGTTAAGTGTAAGCTTCCTGTTAAACTGAGTGGGGAAGTGCAGATGCACACTTTACAAGTATGTCACTGAATATTACATTTCTGATTTTAATTGTAATCCTTTGTAATACAAGACGTCTTCATACCCTGAGTCAGTCTAAAGGTTTTTATAGCTACTCTTATCTGCCTCTTTTGTCTATTTTCCTGTTAAATTGGAGGTGTGCATCTGAGAGTAAATGTGCTGCTCTGTGCCTGCAGAGGATCCCAGTGCGTTGGTGGTCCTAGTGGAGGAGGAGCTAGTGGTTATTGACCTGCAGTCAGAGGGCTGGCCTGTCATTCAGACACCTTACCTGGTCCCCCTGCATAGTTCAGCCATCACCTGCTCTCACCATGTTTCTTCAATCCCCCTCAAACTGTGGGAGAGGATCATTGCTGCTGGGGATCTGCAGAACTCACACTACTCCAAAAAGGTAAATGTGTCAAAGCCTGCTTGCATTTAATGATAGTCATTGTCAGTCATGACACTATGTTGTGTAAAATTGACATAAAAACTAAAATGAAATTATTACAAACCCCATAATACAATACAATGTTTTATTAATTGTAGAACATGGTAAAAGTTTAAAATGAAACTCACTGGCCAGTGATATGGGGGGGGGTCCACCATCCAGAGGACCACAGAGTAGTAGCAGTCACCTTGGGGTTGATCTGGTTCAGATCCCCCTCCTCTTTTGTGTTTTGATTTCAATTCAGCATTTACGCAAGAAGTTGTGGAACATAAAAGCGAATGCCTTTTTTAACCTGGATCCCTGATTCCCCGACACAGTGTTTGTTGGTTTGTTTGTTTGCCAGAGAAGGTGGTCAGCAGGACAGCTTGACCACAGTAGACTGTCCTCTCACGGTTTCTTCTTTCTGTACACCTCAGACTGTAAGAACAGGTCAGAGTCCTTCATCTTAAGAAATCCTCTGATGCTCTGCAGCTGTTGGTGTATCAGTGATGGAGGAGAGGCTGACTTTAAAAGGGGGCCTGGGCCTGAACAAAGGGCCTCATTCACCCACAAGTCTTAAGAACAAATTTGTCTTTAAGCCTGATTTAAGCACTTTTTTTCTTTTACAAAGATTATGCCATTTAAGGAACGAGACGGACACGTGGGATTATATTTAGACAACTGAAAGTACAAATGTGACTGGTGCCGAAATGCTCAGCAAAGGCTGTATTATTTAGCACGTGTCCTTTTATTTTGGCTGGAATTAGTCTTCTATAAGTCTGTGGAGGGGAAGGCAGGCTGCTTTGCTGCTGTCTGAGGCTCAAAGATACCGGGTCTGTGTTGGGGTACATAAAGTGGATGCTGCACAAGCTGACCACTATAATAGTTAATTCTGCACTCTGTCGTCATAACTTAGATTTGAAACAATGCGGGTGGTCATTAAATACTTCATCGCTACCTTGCCACACAACACAATACAGATCAGATTCATCTGTAACTGGTTTAATAATACATTTTCCTTGTTTAATTGATTGAATTAAGATGGCTTTACTGTTAAACGTAAATTCTCCCCTCTGTCCTTTCAGCCGTGGCCAGTGACTGGAGGGCAGAACCTGGCCTCTGATCCTCCTCAAAGAGACCTGCTGCTCACAGGGTAGGTCGAGCTGGGGTCTGTGGAAATGCTGACTTGACATGCTGCAGAATATTTAAACGTTGTCATGTCCATTGCGATGTGTAGACATGAAGATGGAACTGTACGTTTTTGGGATGCCTCAGGAGTGTGCCTGTATCCTCTATACAAGCTGAGCACAGCCTCAGTCTTCCACACAGATGCCGACCCGAATGATAACATGAATCAGGGCACTGAAGGAGAGTGGCCACCATTCAGAAAGGTCTGTATCTCTAAAACTAGTTCTGAACAAGTGCTCAGTTACGCATCTTTAGGCTCATATAATAGGGTTTAAAAGTTAGAAAATAATATCAAATAAGCTATTTAATCTAGAGGCTTCTAGGTGTGAGGGTTAAAATGTCTCCTCACAAGAAATGTGGGACACTTTGTGACACCGTGTTTGTGCTTTGTTTTTGCCCATGCTTCTAATGTGCCTGTCTTCCCATGCTGTGGGAAAGCTGCATAGCAAGGTGTTAGCAGACAACACATGGTTGTTTCAATTCACTGGCATTTTAAGAAAAATAAGATGAATTACAGTTTAGTTGAGTAAGATCCTGATTTAATAAGCGCTGTGATGAAAACCTTTTTCCCACAGGTCGGCTGCTTTGACCCCTACAGTGATGATCCAAGGCTTGGAATTCAGAAGATCCATCTCTGTAAATACAGTGGTTACCTGGCTGTAGCAGGCACATCCGGACAGGTGACTATTCACACAACACTTGTTTATTACTTTTAAACCCTTCCTTTCAGGCACTCTTTCATAGCACTAGTAAAGAATTGTGTTGCTCTGATTTAAAAACTATACTTTTAAAAAATGCATTTCAACATGCAAGAATGAAGTAATACAAAATAAAGTCACTGAAAAGCAAAGCAGGAAAATGCATTTGGTAATCAAATTACCCGTGCACATATACATTCAGCTACATCCGGAGGGGTAGACTCCGCACAGTGTTTGTGAAAACGGTAAGATACAATTGAAGACGAATGGAACTAAATTCCTTGTAGAACTTTTTTCATTCACGTATTTGGTTGTCAGAGTTCTGCAGGTAAGGAATTATGACACAAAATTCTGCCCACTTGATTCATGACACGTCTTAATCATATGTTCTGATGTATAAACCTATCTTACAACATCAGGGTCATCTGAGAAAGTCACCATGATAGTAATCTAAAGATAATTTAGATGAGCAGGCTGAAGGCAGCCATGGCTCTCTGACCTGTGTTTGCAGCTGTGAAGGAAAGACACAAGGAAAGCCTTAATTAAAGAGGCTTTCTGTGCGTTTCCTGTCTTTCAGATTTATCCTCCATGTTTGTATGTAATGAAATTTTGTTCTGCTCATCCTCCATGTATATTTATTTCCAGATTCTGGTGCTGGAGTTGAACGATGAGGGAACAGAGCAAGCTGTGGAGGCTAAAGTTGTAGATCTGCTCCAGGGCCAAGAGGGCTTCCGTTGGAAGGTAAAGCCCACTTCTGAGCTGGTTACAAATTTAATTCTCATGCATTTCATGTGGCCTGAGGAAAAAAAGACATTTTTATTTAAAAAGTGTATTTCTTCACCCAAAACTCAGTGAGATGACTCTGCTGTAACTTTCCTGGGAAAGCGGAGAGCTGTCTGGGTGTTTAATATGTATCTGTCCGCAGGGCCAGTGTCGGCTGGATGTGCGTGAGGAGCCGGTGCAGTTTCCACCAGGATTCCAGCCCTTCACCATGGTCCAGTGCCAGCCTCCCGCCGTTGTGACCGCTCTCACCCTGCACTCGGAGTGGAAGCTGGTGGCCTTTGGCACCAGCCATGGCTTTGGGGTGTATGATTACCAGCAAAAGAACAGAGTCCTCGTCAAGTAAGGAGATTTGAAGAAGATTGGACATGGTGTTTTTTTCACTTAAGATGTCTTCACAAGTTACAGCATTTTATTATGTCCAGAATGAGTCCACTTGGGTTTTCTCATTTGGTTTGCTGATTAAGTTCTTGTCTGCCTTTTGATAAATGCTCAGCGGAGAAGTGTCCTCATTAACCTTTTGCAGTTTCATGTTGTTCACATACCAGTGACTGGAGTGGTCTCTCAGATGTAAACAGATAGTCATCTCAGCTGATGGGATATTTATTTATCATCCCCATATGATAAAGGTTTAAAGTAGAAATTAAAGGATCATCTGATTGCTCTAATCCATTCAGTCTGTTCTCAGCTACTGTCTGAACAGAGACAAAATTGTTCCAGAGCAAGTGTGAATGCAGGTAAAATGGCAAGAAATAAATCAGAAATTAGCGGTAGACACATTTTTATTACTGAACAATAGGCTGTTGGATAGACTAAGCTCATTACAGGAGGAGGGCTGCCATTCAAACAAGAGTCTACCTATGAACTGTAGGCTTATCAGGTTACAAGATGTTCAAACCTGGCAGCCATACCATAAAGATACTTCAAGCCCTGTTCCACTAGTTTTAACACTTGGTGCATATTTACCTAAATGATCTGAAATCCTAGGTGCACACTAAACCCAAGTGACCAGCTGGCATTGGAGGGTCCTCTGTCTAGAGTAAAGAGCATAAAGAAATCCCTCCGGCAGTCCTTCAGGAGAATCCGGCGCAGCAGAGTCTCTCTAAGGAAACATCATGTCAACAATGCTGCAAAGGTAGTCTCACCGCACCCCCGCTTATGGAAAACTGCTGGGATTACTTTGTCTCCACGTATCTGTACTTGCCTCCCCTAACAGCTCCAGGAGGCCAACGCTCGCCTGGAGGCTGAACTGGCAGAGATGGAGCTGGCTCCTGTCCAAAGGAAGATTGAGGCGCGCTCCTCAGACGACTCCTTCACTGGGCTCGTACGCACGCTCTACTTTGCTGACACCTTCCTCTCAGACAGTGAGTCTTCAGAGGGGCTTTTACTCAAACACTGACTTTTTAAAATGTCAAAATCAGGGGATATTTATGTGTGCATCCTCTTTGGTTTCAGGCTCCCATAACACGCCCTCCCTGTGGGCGGGGACTAATGGCGGCGGTGTGTTTGCCTACATGCTCCGCCTGCCTCCGGTGGAGCACAGAGCAGATGAGCCCATCTCTGCACAGCCAGGTGAAGTCTGAGTTTCTGACTCTGAGGTGAACGGTTCTCTTCCTGCTGCCCATACACGGGGGTCCTCAGAAATGCCCCCATGTGTTGACCAAAAACAAGGACACTGCACCACTTATCTGCATCCACACAAGCTAATGTTAGTGATGCTAATGGTGGACAGGTGACCTGTCCAGGTGGTGAGCCCTGTGCTCACACATACAGCTGTTTCACATCTGTTACAACTGAACACACAGCTAGAGCTTAAAGCAAACTTTACTGATGCTTCCACACAGGCTGGCTGGTCCTCAGGCGTTTCTCAAAGCCCACCACTTCTCCCTGAAACCTCCCATACAGATATTAAAGGGTTTGGATTGATTTTGGAGTAGCAGAGGAAATGAATTGATGCTTTGGAAACTTATACAGGGAACAGGCTTGTCATCTTTCCCCATAGTCATACCATTTGTGTCTTTACCTTCCCCCTCTTCTTCCAGCCAAAGAGATCCAGCTGATGCACCGGGCCCCTGTGGTGGGCATAGTGGTGATGGACGGCCGTGGTGCCCCCCTCCCGGAGCCTCTGGAAGTAGCCCATGACCTCTCCCGCTCTCCTGACATGCACGGCTCTCACCACCTGCTGGTTATTTCTGAGGAACAGTTCAAGGTCGGCCTCAAACACACACACACACACACACACACACACACATTCCGTTTCATACACCAGGTGTCACTGACAGACTTAGACTTGTACTTTATTGATCCCTTGGGAAGACTCCCTCAGGAAATTAAAGTTACCAGCAGCTTACAGGGCAAGAAAGTGGCACACAGAGAGCAAAATGCAAAAAAATACTAAAAATACAGATTGGGTACAGAAAACAAAAACCCTTAAATTAAGCAAAAATAAGCAAGGAATAAGAATATAAATACAACGTAAAAATAAAGACCTCTAAGAAAATATAGAGTTTGGCGGATAGGGCCAGGGTAGATGAAGATTCCCCTTTTATTTACAAATTAGTTGTGAAATTATTAGAAGTTTGTTTGATCAAAGTAGTTTTTCAGCTCTTTCTGCTTTATGATGGCCATTAAAGAGCATTCACCATCACTGCTGTAAACCCAGCCACACCTTCCACAATTCTCTACTTCAGTTCCCACTGTGATAGAGGTGTTTGTCTGTGTTCAGGTGTTCACCCTGCCCAAAGTGAGCGGTAAGATGAAGCTGAAGCTGACCGCTGTGGATGGCTCCAGGGTGCGGCGAGTGGGCGTGGCCTCGTTTGCCAGCAGTCGCACCGAGGACTACGGCGAGAGCGGCCTCGTTGTGCTGACCAACCAGGGTGACGTCAACGTGGTGTCGCTGCCACACGTGAAGATGCAGGTCCAGTACCCCTGCATCCGCCGGGAGGA